TAAACCTTAGAGAAGAATTTGTAATTTAGATAAACCTCAAGGGGAATCTTTAATATAGCTAAATCTCAAGGGGGTGTAGGTAATTTGCCCTTATTTGTCAAAAGGGCATTTTAGTCAATTTATGATATCCGTTAAAGGAGTTAATTGCGATGGGACGGGATGCAATTTTTGAAACCTCAGGGGAGAATCTGTAATTTCGTTAAACCTCAAGGGAGGTGCAAGTAATTTGCCCTTTATTTTTTTATCGTCTATTTTTTTTAACAAATTTAACTCGAACACGTAGTTGTCGTTATTTGATCAATTTGAGTTTTTCCAAGAATAATCTATTCAACAAATCTTAAAATATGAACTATTCGGATTATTAAAATACGACCCAAAAGTGAACCCACTAGGCCGGACAACAACTTTCAAGTCCGATAAAACACTAGAGAGAAACCCGTCCCTTTCTAGAATGTGAATTATTTTAGAAAAATCTTGTCAAAAACAATTCGCATAAATAATTTGCTAAATAAATTTTGATTTTTTTATAAAAAACAGACAAGATTAACATTAATTTTGATTTGATTGTGTTTTTATTTGGAGAAATTACAGTTTAGTTGAGATTTTGAAAAATAACTACAAATATATGGTAAATTTTATAAGTATTAATAATTAGAATTACAATTTTTTATTTGTAAATTTGTACTAAAATTATGGAATTACCACTTAAAGGTAATTTTCCTTTTTATATTTTCAGTTTTTTCTTTTGACATTCTAGAAAATCAGTTTCCATTCTGGTGTTTACGCTCTCATCAGTTTGATATTGGGCCGCTAGGCTCACCTTCTTCACTTTATGAATAAAACTCTCATTCTTTCTTTGGCCTAACAAAAGAAAAAAAGAAAAGAAAAAAAAAACCAGTTTCCAAATTAATTTAATGGAATATAAATATTAAACAACTTTGAATAATTTGAAATCTCAAGAGTCTCAAGTTTGGTTGTTTCATTTTGTAATTGCCCAAATGGCATGTCTTCACCTACTTCATATTCTAAAATATCAACTACTTCACTTTTTTGGTAACCATTATTTAACCAAACCTTGAAGGTTGAAGTTTTCTATTGCATTTGTAAAATCGAGATTTGGATGGATTCAATTCATGGTTATGATCAAGTACAATAGAGTTAATTCGCAATTTCCCATTAAAAAGAGATGTTCTAAGCTTAGCTGTGCAATCCGTTTAAGATATCGGATGGAATTTAACTGGCTTGCTTGATTTGTTTTGTGACTTAACAAGCAAATGTTACGTACCTCAACTCCCCATCATTTCCCCTCCTAGAGGTTCTTTTACTGATAGGAAAACCCTTTTCTTTAGCATAACTTCTATAAAATTCTCATATCTCATCAACAGACTCAAACAACACTCCTTTGTTGGGGTGTTGTACTTGGTCTTCTTCATTTGTTGTTTAGTCTGCTCTATTCTCATTACTTTCTTCATTCAATTTAATAATTGTAGAGTCATTTGGTGATAATTCTTCCATGACTCTGAAACATGTACATTACAAAATATATATAAACAATCAAATAAAATAAAGATCTTAACAATAACAAAAGAATTGTTGAGAAGTAAAATAAAATTGCTTGAAAAATTAAAAAGGAAAATGTTAGAGATCCCAAAAGATTTACTAAAATTTATACAAAATGTCTCACATGGGTGTAGGATCCACACTATGTGTGTCTCGAACCCATGTAAGACATTTGGTAAAAATTTTGTTAACTTTTTTGGGGTCTAGTATTACTCAATTACAAAATATACTTTTATCTTTAATTTTAACACTTAGGTTAGGTGGTTTTAATTCACTTGTTTGATTCTTGAATCAATGTAGATTGGAATGGAATGATTGTTCTTTAACTCCTTGGCAGAATATCTATTTAGCATCATATACTAAAATTATTTTAGTAATTTTTTTTCTTTTGATTTGATTCATATAAGATATTATGATGAAGTGCAATGAATGACAATAATATTGAAAATTAAACACAACATATATAATCGATACAAACAATTAACTCTTAAAGTGGAGAGAAAACCCCAATACACTGAATTTCGCTACTTATATAAGTAAATTTAGATAGTTAGTTATATATATGGAAGCATACTTTTATTTTTTTTATGTATATCTGTACTGGATGGTCCGGTCCGACTTTTAAAACATTGAAATCAGAATTCCTTCTACTTACTTCATGCTTCCACCGAGAAATCCAACTCAGCATCCTTAGGCAGCTCTGTTAAGCTCATTGATTGAGTCATCTCTAAAACTTTCAATCATGGACAAAATCACAAACAAAGACAATTACAAAATGAAACAACCAACTTATTTGAGGGAACAGAGCTCCTCTTCAGTTGATACTTCTGGAGACTAATCAAGGCAACTAGTCTAAAGAATTACTTTCCAAGGGTTTGGGAACTCCTCTTTCATAGCATACAACAACATGATGTAGTTGTTGGTAGTGTTTGGTGTTGGAAAAATGGTTTTTTTTTTTTTGGTGACTTTAATTAAAGATTAAAGTGGGTCCCAACCATCTATTGTGTTGGGTCCAAGTGGGTTTAGATACTTTGCATTGAGATCTTTACACCACATATAGAATGGCCAAAAACTATTGAGATTTGAATGAGAAATTACCTCATGAAGTTAGCTTCATGGAAAAAAGGTAATGAAGTTTGTAACTCCTGCATTAATGGGGTTTGTAACTCCTGCCTTTATTGCAGAGGTTAATGGTGCATTATGAACAACCATAAAGGCTGGAGGCTCTTCCTCTCTCCCCTATACATGTATAAATTGAGACACTCCTGTCAAGTCTCAAACACAGAAATTTTTACTTCCATTTCACAAGTCAGTTTGCTTGAAAGTTCCTATTGTGAGAGAGTGCTGCCATTGTTTTGTTCGCTAAGCTAGACAGATAGTGCTTCTGCCGTAGCTGGTTTTGACCGTCGTATCCTGGGAGACAGACGCCGGGATTCCTCAAGCACTCGACCTGTGAGGCGGCAAAATCTGTTTTAAGGAAACTGCTACCGTGCAGGCTTCGGTTTCGTTTCTTTACCCTTTTATTATTTTGTGTATTTATGTTGAAATTTAGTTGTAATTATCTGCATGTGTTCTTGGTATATAATTTGATTTTTCCATAAATCTATTTATTTAATTTCACAAGATGAACAACATTTGGATTGCCAGGGATCAACCGCAAGCAATACAAAGATTCAACTGCTCCATCGTAAATTGAGCAACCTCAAGAGCTTAGTGGTGTTTGCCCCAAAAAAGCTCAATGTTACTGTTGGACCAGATACTCCAAGCTAAATAAAATGGAGTGATTATAAAATATTTAACAAAGTGGAAACATGGTCTGCTGGTTAAAAACAGTTGCTTTTTCGTTCATAACAGGTTTGGTGGTTCATCTAAATCAAAACCTAAACCAGACGATGTGTCAACCAATTATACTGACTAGTCCGGTCTAGCATTTAAATTGATATTAACAATCCTACTACTTACTTTATGTTTCCATCCTCTGTTATCAGAATTTTACGATTCCCGATTCGATTCGTAATTTTTGCAAAATCAATACGAATCTATAAACGAATCTATTTTGAAAGTGAATCTCTAGTGAATCGCACGATTCACAATCGATTCACGATTCGATTTACTTTTCACGATTTATGTAATTCTTGAAACTATAGTGTCCAACATATTTCAACTTTTTTTTTCTCCATCTTTTGGTACAAATGACATAATACAACTTCTAATAGCATTTAAAGCCAAAATAACCAATATATATACATGATTTGTTGTTATTTTAGTGATCATGGAGTTTTTAATAGGATCCAATCAGATTCAGTCGGACTCAACATGTTTTTAATTTTTCTTCTCATTTTTTTTTCTTTTAAAAAATCATAATATATCTTCTAAAATGTTTAAAATTAAAGTAATTTACACCATGAATTGAAGTAATTTATACCTTTTAAAATATTTTATGCTTTAAAATAAAATATCCTAAATAATTCTTTCTTATTAGTTGATCATTGTTACTTGAAAAAGTATGTATACTTATTGTCTAAATATTAATATCGTTGTCAAAGTATTGTTACTTTAAAAATTGAGATTTTTTCTTTATTTACTATCTTTTATTAAAAATAGTTGATAAGAAATATTTAAAAAAGGAAAAAGATAAGATGGTGATCTTACATAAGAACCTTTATTAGCTTATTACATATTAAACTATATGATAATCATTCAAAATAACATTTTCATTGATTTAAATCTAAATATTTCATATTCATAAGATATATTTAACATCAGAGTGTGTAGATATAGTAACTTACACTACTAAAAACCGGACTTTTTGCGACGGTCTCAAACATTGCAAAAGGTCCACATGTCGTCGCAAAAGACTTTTTGTGACAGTGTAGCGACGGGAAATGGGGGTGGCGAAAGAAGCCATGACAAAAAGTATTTGTGACGGTTACAAACTGTCGCTTCCTTATAGTGACGATAACTCAATGGTTTTGCGACGGTTTGACCTGACATGAAAAAAAAGAAAAACATCACTTTTAGCGACGGTTTAAGATGCAGTCACCAAAAACTATTTTAGAGACGGTAGTTGATGTCTCGAAAAGTATTATTAACGACAGTCTCAAACGTTGCAAAAATCAAAATTAAATCAATAATGTATTCGCAACAGTTTAAACCGTCACTAAATATGGCACTCATATGTATATGTGACAGGTTAACTAATCGCTAATAAAATATAAGAAAATAATGATTACATTAGCAACGGTTTATTACTGTTGCAAAATAATTATTTTCATAAAATAAATATATATTTTATTAATTCATTCCTTGTACAAATTATTAATATTTTCTAAAATAAAATACATCCACACACATTCACATTCACAAAATCATAAATATGAATAATAATATATATGTATCCGGTAACAATACAGTGTCAACCAAACTTCTTTACAAAAATATATAAAACATCCTCTAACAATACTAATAATTTTTGATAATTCAACAACTCAAATTTTTATCTAAAACAAAACAAAAGTATCGACAGTACAAATAAAAAAACATATATATTATAGCTTGTTTTAGCATCAACAGTAAGCTCTTATATCGATATGTGAAGATATCATCACGTACTCAAAACGATAGCATCTGCAAAAAGAAACAAAAAAAAAATGTTAATAAAAATAACTAAAGAGAAGGAATAATTTTTCTTGCAGTCATTTATGCCCAATCAGAGCAATAGTTGCCTAGAACAAATGTTAGCCAAAAAATTCAACCATGGGCAACTCGATATGGGCTAATTGGAAAGTTAACAACTTTGATCCAACCAATCTTCACTGATCTTACCCCAAGACATCTTTTGCTTGCAATTACCATCAGCAATGCTCACAAATTTAAATTTGGAAACTATTCAACTTTAGGATAAAACAGATTTCAGGAGTTACATGGAGAACTTCACACAACCCTAATAAGAATTTGTGAACAAGAAAGAGATGCAAGCCAGAGTAATAGAACCATGGGTACACCTTGTTAAAAATGGTCATAGAATAATGGAAGAAGTCACAATGTGTTCAGAGTATAAGAATATTCAGGAATAGTTCCAAATTGTCAAAACAAACAAGATAGCATCACTAATAAAACAATTTAATAAATTAGGACAACATTGGAGTAATTTAATAATTATTAGAATGTTATCCGTGGGATTCACAACAAAAATAATGCAACTGATGACAATTTAGCTCATAATCAAGAGGCACTATTTGGAAGAGAAGGAAATAGACCATATTTCCCATTCCCCAAGCAAAACCCTTCCACTTGGAAAAAGATCATGTTCTGTTACTAAGAGTTTCTTTCTGCTATCATGAACATCCCAAAAATTATTAGGGAGTCAATTTCCACCCAACAAATAGAACAGATACTACTCCATTCCAGTTTGGTGGAACAAAAATATCAACTTATTTGTATTTCTGGGCATTGTCATGTGCTGTGACCTACACAAATTCAACACCAGCATGGAACAGTAAACATGACGGAGCATTTTACCAATAGGAGACATAATTGCAAGTCCCGGGTTTACAAAAAAAAGTACACACAAAAACACACATTAGCAGTGGGATAAAGAAAGCAACCCAGTGCACAAAACTCCCACTAAAGCAGGGACTAAGGAGGGTAAGGTGTATGCAGCCTTACAACGTTTCTGGAAAAAATAATTCCCCAGGAAAGAAATATTGAGTTTGCAAGTTAGAAACCTAATCAATAATAAGATTGGAAAAAAATAAAGAATGCATAAAACACATGTAGCACATGAGAGACACCGCATGGCTGTTACTAAGTTTGTTCTGAAAGAGGTAATTTAGGTATAAGAAAAATCGAGACAAAACTTCAAAGATCTGTGTGCTTTATATAACAGTATAGATTATGGCTATTAGCAGGTGTAGTAGGAAGCAACTTTCAATAAGAATGATTATGATTGATGCACCATCGTCCAAGTGATAAAGAAACATACCAATAGCGACAAGTCAAGCATTTTGTTCACAGCTCACTTCTTTGCTAGAAATAAACAAAATAGGACTAAGTAAAAGTTCAAAGCTATAAGAGAACTACACTTCTCTTAAACTGTGTTTAGATCATGGATTTAGGTAGGGATTTGGAAAGGAAAAATGAAAAGTTGGGTAAAATGTGAATGAAATATGTATTTCACGTACCTTTTCCCTTATATTTCATGCACATTTTACCTACCTTTTCACTTTCCTTTCAAAACCCTTACTTAAATCCATGATCCAAACACAGCTTTAGGTGCACCTGTTTCCCTATAAGACAATTTTTAGGAAAATCATCATGAAATGATTTTTTTAAGGCTCCATTTCTTTTTCTTTTTTTGATCTAGGCTCGATTTTTGTTCAGAGCCATTTTTCATGAGTGAAAAAAAAAAAAAAAAAAAAAAAAAAAAATTCATGTCTCTTTAATCTCTTTGAGAACATATGATCTTGCTGCACACAAATTTCTCTCCCGATGAACTTCTAGTAAAAAAATTCCATTGACAAACTCCATGCAAATCCTTCAAGAAAAGAATTTTAGTTATGTAACCCCTTATCTCTATATTCCATAACAGAACCCAGTTTGCAAATATGCCAATTCCCTTGGCTTCAACATACAGTATAAAGCAATCAGTTTTAATTATGGGATTTTATTAGTTTAGTTATCCTATATATTAGACTATGATATGGTTCGAGACTAACCTACGGTTTTAGATATTAATTGTTGAAATATTGATTTAGAATAGTGATTCCCAATGTTGTGAAAAGCGCGCCTAGGCACAAGGCGAAGCGAAGCGTACTGTTTGTGCGTGGACAAGTCCCAGGCGAGGCAATTTGAGTTAGGCGCGCGCCTTAGACGCGACTTGAACCAGGCGACAGAGGCGCAAGGCGCACGACTAGGCGCGCTTGATTTTTCGAATGGCTCTTAACCACAAATCTGATCTAACGGCTGCGGAGTGTGTTTCGAATGGCTCTTAACCACAGAGGATTACAACTCATGCACAATATGGCCCAAATACGACTAAAATGAACCCTAACCTGTGTCGTCTCTTCCTTTCTCGCCTCGCCTTGGATTGCGACTTCTTCAACTTCGCAGGTATGCTTCGCCATCTTCTTCTTCTTCTCCTCTTCGACTGGGCTGCTCGACTTGTTCGACTTCTTCGGTTTTGTTTTGTTTTGTTTTTTTTTTTTTTTTTTTGTTTTTTTGGCTGGGGACTTCTTCCAACTTCTTCTCTTCGACTCTGACTCTCTCTCTCTCTCTCCTTCTTCTTCTTCTTCTTCTTCTTTTGGTTGTTCGACTGCTCTGTTTTGCCTCCCCCTTTTTTTTTTCAATTATGCCTTTGAGTCTGTTAGAAAAAAAAAAAAAAAATACAAATACAAATACAAAATAATTAACTAAAAAAAATAGATTATTGAAATAGGTTATTATGCCTTCCAATTATGCCTTTTTTTTTTCAATTTTTTTTTTCCCTTTATCTGTTAGGGGAAAAAAATAGATTTTTATTATGATTAATTAACTAAAAAAAATACACTGGAAAAAAAAATTACAAATAAATAATTATTCACAAATAATTAATTAATACAATGTTCTACTAGTCTCTTTTTTTTTTCCTTTATCTGTTAGGGGAAAAAAATAGATTCTGATTCTGATTAATTAACTAAAATTATTTTCCAAAATTAGATTTTGATTCTAATTAACTAAAAATAGATTATGATTCTGATTAACTAAAATTAATTCATATTTTCCAAAATTAGATTCTGATTCTGATTCTTATTTTCCAAAATTCATATTTTTCAAAATTAGATTCTTATTCTAATTAACTAAAATTAATTCATATTTTCCAAAATTAGATTCTGATTCTAATTAACTATCATCAAGTAGAGCAACAAGTTCATGCTCAAAGGCACAACTGAGGATATCTAAATCATCAAGATTAACTCCACTTCAATTAATAGATGAAGAGGAAGCAGGCTCAGATGACACAGAGGAGGAAGATGTTGAGGAATATAAATCAACTGATGGAGAAGAAGATGATAGTTTGCTTGCCATTGATGTTGAAGATGATGATTGACTGATGACCGACCTAACCTACCCTTTCTTTTGATATTGATGTTTTTCAGTGTTAAGACATATATTAGTATTTGTTGGATATTTATGTTTTGGATGTTTAGTGTTTATGTTTTTATTTTTATTTTATTGAATGTGGATTATTTTATTTTTGAAAATTGAAATGTTATGTAATATGCACTTTCATGGCTTTGAGAATTTTATTCTATATTTTGCCTTGAATCTTGATTACTTTTTATTTTAAAAAAAATTGTCTTAATACTATGAATGATTAGTCTATGTTAATTTTTCTATTTTTTTCTAAGACTGTGCGTCTTACTTCAATAAAGCCCGCGCCTCGCCTTGCGCCTAGGGCCCGAGAGACCTTCAGCGCCTTAGTGCGCCTTGAGCCTTTAAAAACACTGGTGATTCCCCAGTTTCTTCCCTCTTCTTCTGTTATTTTGGTGCTTACATCAACACCTTTAAAAAAATGCTGTAGTAAATAGATTGAGGGAGCTTACGTATTTCCAGCCAAGAATTTGTCCACAGCAGCAGCAAAATATATCTGACACGGTATGAATTCCAGTAAACATTATCCTTTCCTCTACAGATCCAACTGTTATATTCACACTGAACAAAAATGCCACAAGAAATGTGAGTAAAGTCTGATATACAAAAATCTAATATAATGTGATACAGATGAAAAGCACAAACCACAAAATTAAAATAAGCAAAAAATCATAAAAGACTAAAAGCTTAAGTTTTACAATAGCAATCTATAGGAGTTGCAGTATAATGTCAAATATCTTGGGTCCTTTTACTGTATGTAGTAAACATTAGGGGTAATAAAAGTATTTACACAAAACAAAATGTTTTTTCCTGAAATTAACTAGTGATCCAAGAGGGGAAAAAATTCTCAAGGAATCCAACTCTAACCTGTGTTTCATTCACGTTTCCCTCACATTTTCCCTTTCCAAATCCCTACTCAAATCCATGATCCAAACGCCAATGTGATGAAAAAAAAAAAAAAAAAGGATGAGAGGAGACATTGTTTTTGGATGACTACATTATTGAGCTCCTGTTCTTGTTGGCCTTTGCCATTATTCAAGAAACCTCTTTTATAAGGCTCCAACTCAAAACTTCAATTTTTTTATTTTATTAAGAGAGATGAGAAATTCAAGATTTGCTAAATTAGTGTTCCAGAACAAGAAAGCACTTTAATTTGGATCCTGAGATCCAAATTACCCACTGAGAATTGCTAAACTTATCAGATTTCCTTGGTAGAGAGGGTTATTCAAATCAAGTCACAGTGTCAATAAATTAATACAACATTTAAATATGAAAGACTCATTCCATGATTGCCTAATAGATGTGAACAGAAAGAACATTCCCACTTTAATTTGGCCTATGAATCTATGATATCATTCAGTGGCCAAACAAGCCATTACCTCCTCCAAGAGAAAAACTACATAAGAGGAGAGCAAAGCAAACAAATGCATAAGCCACCTGCATAATCCCAAAATGACATCACTCATTAAAAAAAAATTAAAAAAAAAAAAAGAATATTAAATTGTTAACAACTTAGGCTTTGTTGTAAAGGTATGCTTTCCTGCGACTGCAACTGAAAGACTGATCAAAATACAAAGCAATAATTAGTGTCAAAGTTGTTGAAAGTACGGCAAACCATGTAGACACGCAACAAATGCAAAAACAAAATACTAGAGAGTAACACTGTTAGAAAAAGAATTATATACGTACACATAATACTTTGGAAGATAAAAATTTTATGAGCTTCACTCTTAGTGAAATATAGTGATCTATTAATTTCATAGAGATGGTGAACATCAAAGACACTCAACATCATGAGGAGAAGTTTATTTCACATCTCGTAACTATTTTACTCCAGAAAACACTTTATGAATTACCATGCAATAAAGAAAACCACAAAATATATATATTGTACAGAATCTGTCCTCAATTTCAGAATAATATTTCAGAACATGGTCGTGGTCATTTTCACTTTTGGTCCTCAATGATATTTTAAACCTTGCTTGGTTCCATTTTTCCAAAAACACTTTTCAGAAAATTCTACTTTCTTATTTTTCGTATTTTTTTGTTTTTACTAATTTTTTTTAATATTTTAAGCAATTTTTTCACTTTTTAGACACACCTAACAAAAATACACCTAAAAAGTAAAAAAATTGTAAAAAAAATCTTTTAAAAATTTACTAAATACCAAAAATACAAAAAAAATACAATAATTCAATACATTTTTTGTATTTTTATGTATTTATTAATTTTTTAAAATATTTTTTCACAAATTTTTTACTTTTTAGATACATCTAAGAAAGGTGCATCTGAAAAAGTAAAAAAAATGTTTAAAATTTTAAAAATATTTACTAAAAACAAAAAAAACACGGAAATCAAAAAACTCAGTTTTCAAAAAACTTAATCCAAAAAACTCAAACCAAACACACTATAATTTTTCACAGCAGCAGGGGCTTTTTGGGAGGGCTTTTAACCTTTGTTTTGATCCTCATAGGTCATAACCATACATTTATAAATTTATATTCAAGAAAACAACCATTATAAGTCATGACCAAACATTGAAAAATTCTAAAATACACAACTCAAAAAAAAGGTGTTATATATGCTCAGTTATTATGCGAAATTGAGGTGTGAATATTTAAAACAAACCAATTGATAACCAAAAAACAGTTGAGAAAGTTTAAATTTACAAAAAAAAAAAGAAAAAAAAAGAAAAAGAAAAAAGAACACAGGATTCAAATTTCAAATATCCTCCATAAATTTCCCACTATATCTCAATTTTAAGTCATTTGCATGTACTGCAGCTTGTAGGATTTCATCCTTCCTCAACCAACCTACTTCAACCTACATCAGAATGTTAACATACTAATCTCAATGAAGATTTGACATTTCAAAGAAACAGAGCAGAGTTGGAGAGCTTCAAACCCAAGACCACAACCTAGCACAAGAACAACAGCAACCATGGACTAAAAGTACCATGCCAAACAAAAACCAACACCCAAAAACATCTCCAATTGGGCTTGTTTGGTTTGATTTTGGGAGAGTTGTTTTTGAAAAAAATTTCCAAAATTTTGTTTGGTTTGTGGTTTTTCTCAAAAAATTTCCAAAATCACTCTCTCTTACACATCAATCAATCACTTTTTCTCTCCTCTCTCTCATTCTCAATCACTTTTTCTCTCACACAAATCTACTCAATTACAACAAAATATCAAATTATTCCAAACTCCAAAACTACTTTCAAAATATATGATCAAACAAATCAAAAAAAATTCTAAACTCTCTCCCCAAATTTTTTTTTGAAAATCACTCTCTCAAAAGCAAACCAAACACACCCAACATCTAATCTGACCCAGGTTTGAAACAAAATCCTGAACAGAGAAGGCCAATCCAGCCTTATTGAACTTCACCCATCTGATTGTGTCACTATTGAATTATTACAATTGCTTTGAACAATACATGAAACATGATTGCATCATATAGATTCAGAACACATCACCTACAACATTGTCTTTTAAAATTTAAAGATACCCCAAAATTTATGTCAATTTTAAACCCTAACTAAATCAAGAAAACTAATATCAATCGATTTAGGTAATTGTTAATTACAGTTTACACTCACACTACATATTGATGGATGAAGCTTGTGCGCGAGTTCAAATTCATGAACTCTATGGAAGAATGGTTACACATAGAGAGAAAGAAGCAGAGATAAGGTTTTTAGAGATACAGAAAGAGGGGGTGTGTGTGTGTGTGTGTGTGTGTGTGTGAGAGAGAGAGAGAGAGAGAGAGTGAGTGTAGAAACTTACCGACGGAGAAGGCAGTGTTGGCTTTTGAAAATCTGGCAACAAACTGCAACGATCGGCGGTCAGAAAATGGCATCAGGTGTGTGACTTTGAGAGATCAATTTTTACTGTGAGATGAAATCGTGGGGAGGGGAAGGGAAAGGGAAGGGGAAGGATTTATAGAGATAAAGGTAATTTTTATTGTGAAATGAAGGAAAATTGTGGGGAAGGTGAAAGATAATTTTGGGTGTTTTTTCTTAAGAGAGAGAGTGAGGGCTGGGCGTAAGAGTAAAATTACGGGTCTAAAGTTTTTGCGACAGTTTGAAAGATTGTGGCAAGCAAGCAAAAATACGTAAATCAAAAAACTTTTTGTGAAGGACTATAAAATACCGTTGTAGAAAAACAGAACACTGAAGTCCCAAAAAAATTTTATGACGGGTTAACGAACCATTGCAAATAATTACTTTTTGCGACGATTTTTGGTTATCTATCCCTAAGAATCTTATTTATCCAGTGACTTTTTTTTTTTTTTTTTTTTTTTGCAATGGTAATTTGTCATCACAAAAAAATAATTTTGCAACGGATTTATTTGCCATCGCAAAATCTTATTTTTTGCAACGGTTTTTAAATCATCGTAAAAAGTTCTATGTCTAAAGCCCCCTTTTCTAATAGGGTTAGAAAAAATGACTGAATCTTTACGATTCAAGATTCGATTCGATTCGATTTGATTCGCGATTCCGTACAAGGTCATTTCGATTCATGATTTGAATCCCGATGTGACAACTATGCTTTCATCTAGACCTCCAATTGAGCATCCTCAACCAGCTCTATTAAGTTCAGTAATTGAGTCATCTATGAAACTTTAAATCATAGACAAAATCACAAACAAAGAAGACTACAAAATGAAACAACCAAACTTGTTATTGAGAAAACTGAGCTTCTCTTTCAATTGATATTTTTGGGGACCAAGTGAGAGCAACTAGTTTAAAGAATTGCTTTCCAAGAATTTGGGAACTCCTTCATAGCATACAACAATATGATGTAGTTCGCAGAATTTGGGTTGCCGCGGGACGAAAGTACAAAACAATACAAAGATTCAGCTGCCAAGTTCCATAGAAAAACATGTAACGTTTAAACTAGAAATTCCAAGTACAAGTAAGGTGTTCTATATCTCCATCATCTATAGCCAATATTGATGATTATAAAAGGAGAAGCTCAAGGATAAGGCATAGATCTATTAATGTCTCTTCAACCATATGTTTGGATCCATGAATTCAATACAAACTTGAGAGATATTAGAGCTGAAGAAAAAAAAGACACGAGGCAAAATCACATTCAGCATCATGCCTTCTATATCAAAGCATGAGTTATTATTAAATATTGTGACCATTATATACTGTACTGCTTTAAAGTTAATAATCATAAGCATGTAACAACTTTTTGCTGTCAAATAATCTCCTACAAGAACCTGAGAGAACTCTTTTAACTAGAAATCCACCATGGAAAAAAAAAAAAAAAAACTTTCACAAAACTACGTATGTGGAAGAAAAAAAGAAGCATGAAAATTTCAGAGCAATAAAAACAGACCTTTATATAAAATGCAATATCTAAGCAAGTATGTATGAGTTAAATCAACTTACAAGTTACAAGTAACAACAAAGCATATATATATATATATATATCAATGCAATACCTTGACTCATTATGATGCTTGAGAAAACGAAGTAGCTCCAGAAAACCTAGGTGGTTCCTTGGAAAATGAGGTAGTTCTAAAAAATGCACGAAGCATTTCCTTTGACGAATTATCTAATCCGTCATCAGACAACATGTTAACTAGCAAGGTTACAGTGCATGAATCCACAGAGATAGCTCTATCATCCATTACGTGAAGCAGTTGCAATGCTTTCTGTATTCCATTATTTCGTAGAAATCCTTGAACCAATATATTATACGAGTAAAAATCCGGTGAGCATCCTTCTTCTTCCATTTTCATTAGCAACTCGCTTGCTTCATCAAGTAGCCTTCGCTTGCAAAGTCCATTGATCATTATATTGTATGTGCGGACATCAGGTTTCAAACCTTTAGCAGAAAGACTCAAGTAGAGTTTTTTTGCATCATCGAGCTTCCTAGCTTTGCACATACCATGTATTAGGTTATTATAGACAACAATATTAGGAACTAATCCAACTGTTTCAATCTTTTCAAACAATGCCAATGCCTCATCAAGATATTGGTTGTTGCATAGGCCATCCAACAAAGTAGAGTAAGTAAACAGATTAGGAATTTGGCCATAAGTTTGCATCTCATCAAGAAGCAAAAGTGCATCTTGAGGTCTTCTTGTTTGGCACAAGCCACCAATAAGAGTGGTGTAGATAATAGTATCAGGAAGCAATCCTTTTCGAGACATTTCCTTAAAGAGATTCATGGCTTCATCTATGTTTTCGATCTTACAGTACCCATTTATCAAGATATTATAAGCAAAAACATTAGGAGCACAACCCCTACTGACCATAACATCAAACATTTTCCTTGCCTCATCTACTTGGCCACACAGACAATACCCATCCATTATAGCACTATAAGTGACAACATCGGGCACCACACCTCTTTGGATAATCAATTGAACAACAGCTTGTGCTTCTTTGGCCTTTCCTACTTTACAGAGTGCATCAACTAAAATGGTAAAAGTTTGAACATTTGGCCAGATATTCTTACCAACCATTTCATTCAACAATCTCACAGCTTCTTTCCACTCACCTAAACTACATACACCTTGAATTAATGATGTGTAAGTGACGACATTCGGTGAAAAACCTTTACCTATCATTTCCGAAAAGAGCTTGAAAGCCTCGGTTACTAGTTTGTCCTTGCAAAGTCTATCAATGACCGTGCTGTATTCCACTAGTCCAGGCTCACAACCTCCTATTTCTTCCATCTTTCTTAGCAAGAGAATAGCAGCACTGGTGTTTCCAATTTTGCATAGTCCATTTATTATAGTGCCGTAAGTAATGAAATTGGGTTGGAACCCTTTCTCCACAATTTCATCGAAAAACTTAACTGCGGAAGCCATGTTACCATTAAGACAAAACCCCTTGATGAGGGTAGTGAAGGTTGTGGTGTCTGGTTCATAACCAAGTTTCAATAGATTCCCGAAAACAGAAAAACCCAAATCAACTCGATTCAAGTTACAGAAACAATTAATCACAATGGTAAGTGTAAACTTATCAGGTTTCACGAAACCAGTTTCCAACAAATTCATTTTCCTAAAAAGAGAAATCACGGTGGAGTAATGCTTCGTTCTTGCAATTGAAGTTAAAAGTTGATTAAATTGCAAAATTGATGGCAAAGGTCGCATTCGAAGCATGTGATGAAACTGAGTTAGGGCACCATCATCATCATCAAGATTAGCAAACCCATATTGAAATTGGTGTTCCGCAGAAGCTTTGATATGAAGATGAGAATAGGGATTCAGTAAGATTGTAAGAAAACAAGAAAATTGAGAGAAAATACCCTTGTGAAGATGATCACAAACACCATTTCTCAAAACCACAGCAGCATCGGCACTTCTCGCCATCATCATCATCTCTCTCTCTCTCTCTCTCTCTCTCTCTCTCCTTTCTACAACGCTGAAACGACGTGTTTCGTCACAAATTTCTCGTTTGTGTTTTCGTATTTCGTTTTCTCCTGTTTTTCGAAGCAAAAAAAAATGACGCGTTAGCACACACATGGGTTTTTCGCATCATTTTTATTTGGGCAAATTACATAAACCTTGGAGGTTTTGTTAAATTACAAATATTTTTGAGGTTTGAAAAATTATAAATTTCTCCTAAAGGTTATATTTACATAACAAATTAGGAGATAATTTGTTATAAAAATATAAACCTCATGGGATGATTTGTTATAAAAATATAAACCTATCATGTGGCAATATGTTATGAAAATATAAATCTCAAGGGAAATCTGTAATTTCTCAAACCTCACGAGTATCTATAATTTAACTAAACTTCGAGGGGTATATGTAATTTGCCATTTTTATTTCAATAACGAGAGAGCGCCGACAAAACACAACCTCACAACTTTTAAAATATTATGAAGTATTTATGTCACTGCCACTGTCAAACACAAGTCTTCAAAAAAAAATTTAACGCATCAATAATTAATATGTCAATAGAGGTCATGGGGTCGTCTTTTATGGAGTCCCAAACATTTTTCTTTTTATTTTGGGTTAACAGTAAATTTCCATGTGAATAAAAGTCTATCAACACAGAATAAAAGTGTACTCTCAATTAAAAGTGTGTGCGGTGCAATTCGGATAGTTTGATAATAACATTATAAATTGAATAGAGGATTAGTAAATTGACAGATTGACAATTGTGATTTGAGGATTAACGGATTGAAAAATATTCTAATCAATTATTAAGTATTTGCATAATATATAACAATAATTTTTATAATATTTTTCATATATATAATACAAACTAATTTTACATAATATTTTTCATATATATAACTACTAATTTATAATAAATTTCACATATTAAATCTCTCTAACACTCCTTTTTACTTTAATATTTCATTATAGGTTAAAAAATATATATGTATTAACTATAACGGAATGGAACAATTTTGAAGGCGAATTATAAATTTTAAAATTTAAACCGCAGTTAGCGGATAGAGCGGTGTAGATTGATGAAAATCGTTGCTATTTTAACGGATTGGGCGGTATTTTGCATAACCTTACTTTCAATCATGATGTGTGATTGAGATTAAATTTGTATAAAATGTGAGATTTATTTATAGAATAAATTTGAACTACACGATGATAATTTTAAATAATTAAAGTCAGAATAGTATTATCATTGTTTCCTTAAATTATCTCCCATTTGCATTTTACTCCTAAATTTCAAAACTCAACCGTTAATCACTTCAAAAGTATTATCCTTTTATTGTTAATCCCTTTTGTTATAATTCTGTTACACTTTATTTGATTGAGGGATTTGAAAATAAAAAGAGAAAAGGTGTGTGAAACTAAGTAAAATATATGTATATTTTACATCCTTTTTCTTTTTCTTTTTTTTCAAATATCTTCTCAAATCCTCCAACCAAACACAATGTTAGGAATTTATACAAAATCAAATCTTATGTAAAATACATGAAACATTATTATTTTTTTGGGACAATAATGCCTCTGTGTGGTTATTTTGTTTGCACTTTGTCACTAAAGATATAGGAAACAGTACAAATGGAATCACTAGATAAGGATATTATTGTCTTAACAAATTAATAACATGTATTATTGTTCGAAGAAAATCAAGAAGTGAAGCACATGACCTAACTTCGGTTAAATCACGGGATAGAATCCTAACAAAAGGTATTTAATAAGATAATAATTCAAGGAGGTTAACTATTGTAGGCAAAGTACAAATGAATCATAATTGGGTGAATTATACTAACGGTTCCTATAGTTTGGAACTTGTGTCACTTTGGTCTTCGACTTTTCAATTGTGACACATTTGACCCTGCATTTTGAATTTTATTCCAAATAAGGACAATTGAAAATATCATTACTCAATTTCAATGGCAAAGTCGTCAATTTGATAAAATATAAACTAATTTGACAAAAATAAATATCAAAAAAATATTTTTGAATTTTTAAAAATTATTTCTATCCACCAAAGATAAAATTATGTAAAATTGATAAATCTTTTACACATTTTTTATTTATTTATTTTACCAAATTGATTTTTATTATGTGTTTGGATGATAATCATGTAATGGATGGTTATTTTTATTTTCATTAAATTAGTTTCTATTTTTCCAAAACTCAAATATAGCGACCACTTTGATATCATTATTAAACTAATCCATTAAACCAAAAAATTCAAAACTAAAAATATTTTATATATTAAACATCTTGATTACACATTAAAAGCCTAACAACCACACATTACATAATCATCATCCAAACATATTATAAAAATTAATTTGTGACTTATCAATTTTATATAATTTTATCTTTGGTGGGTAGAAATAATTTTTTAAAATTTTAAAATATTTTTTTGACATTTATTTTTGTCAAATTAGTTTATATTTTATCAAATTGATGACTTTGCCCTTGAAATTGAGCAATAGTATCTTCAATTGTTCTTATTTGGAACAAGATTTAAAATTTATGGTCAAATATGTCACAATTGAAAAGTCAGAGACTAAAGTGATACGAGCCCCAACTATAGGAATTGTTAGTGTAATTCACCAATCATAATTTTAGGGGGTTCATTGTAATTCACTTTTTTTTTGGTACAATTTTTAATTATTTTTTATGTTTTTTAAAATGTGAATTGTTTTTGAAAAATATTTTCAAAAACAATTTTAATAAATAATTTGTCGAACAGATTTTAATTTTTCAAAAAATAAAATAAAAAAACAACCAGAAAAAATTAGCATTCATGTTTGATTTGATTGTGTTTGTAAGGGATACTTACGTGTAGGTCTTAATAAGTGGACTTATTGTATAATAGTCCTATGGAAAAAATTTGTCATAAAAAAGTCACTAATTGTAAGTTTTAGCGACAATTTATAAAAATTATGACAAAAAAAGTCACTAATTATCAATTTTTAGCGACATCTATAAAAAATTGTCACAAAAAAATTATTTTTAGCGACAATTTTACCAAGACTTTTTTTCAATAGGACTTGATAAGAATTAAGTCCCATTATTAGGACCTATTTCTCTCTTTGATTTTCTAGAAAACATAATGGTAACAAGATATTAACTAGTTTCCTAATTAATTTAATGGAATTTAAATATTAAAGAACTATGAAATCCACCGAATAATGTGAAAAGCTAACAGTTTAATTTGTGTCTTCATTTACATATTGATGAGGACCATGCGCCACATCGCCTGTGAAAAACTCCCACTTCTACCTTATAAACGCACTGGCCTCTCCACCTGTCAATAGGCCTTTTCCCCCGAGGAGAAACAAAATCGTAAGGCTTCAGTCAAAGGGAACAATATGTTGACGGGGTGCGAGAGGACAGGCGTCGCGAAATTTGGTGCTAGAAGGAGGGCATTTTAAACTTTGAGGATAAAGTCTTATCTTTGATGGAAGCAGCAAAAGAAGAGTTCTTGATTTGATCTTGTCCCAAACAGGAATACTGTCTCCTCTGGCATAAGAGGGTTGGACACTGCTAGCTTCTCCTTCATGGGTGGCAATGTTTTGTTGTTGTCGATGGTGGTTTTGGAAGGGCTCAGGGTCATTTTGGTTGCGTTGCGAACCTTGAGGATTTCTGATGGTGTGTTATTAAGCCATGAATCGTGTTGTAACCATTCAATCTGACACTGGCCAAAGAAGTCTTATTTTGCATGTTCTCCATAACCCCTCGTAGTTGGTGTTTAACAACCCGCAATTTCTCGTCTCAAACAGGGATATTGTCTCCTCTGACATGAGAGGGTTGGACATTGCTAGCTTCTCTTTCATGGAAGGCAGTGTTTTGTTGTTGTCGATGGTGGTTTTGAAAGGGTTTAGGGTCATTTTGGTTGAGTTGCGAACCTTGAGGATTTCAGATGGTGTGTTGTGAAGCCATGAATCGTGTTGTAACCATTCACTCCGACACTGAAGATGGGTGATAAGGAAACCATTTTCCGGCGACAATGAACACAACTATCAACCGAAAGGTTCCCACAAATCCCATCATCAATAAAAGGAGGCCAAATTTCATGACACCTGTCCTCTCGCGCCCCGTCAACATATTGTCCGCTTTGGCCGGAAGCTCATGGTTTTGTTTCTCCTCGGAGGAAAAGGCATGTTGACAGGTGAAGGGGCCCAATGCGCTTATAAGGTAGAAGTGGGAGTTCCTCCCTGGCGATGTTGGACATGATCCTCATCACATATCTTTTCCTTACTATTATTTTTTTTTTTACTCAGTAAATTTTTGTTTATATTCAAGATTTAAACACAAATTTAATAAAATTGTAACTAGAAATCCATATTAATCAATCATTTTATAGACAGTATTAAAAAAGCAAAAAGAAAGTGACAAAAAAAAATTGATTCATCATTTCTAACATCTACCAATACTGTTACTCCAATCAACAAATTCATCAAGTATCTCTTGAATAAACTATAAAGTAATAATAAGAACTATGTTGTGTATTTTAGTAAAAACCTAAACTCTTTTTGAATCGGTATAAAATTTGTCACATCCATTACTCTTTATTTCGTATTGTTATTTTTACACAAAATGAGTGTTAGCTCATTCATTAGGTCATTAAGGTAGTCTTTTAGGGCTCAATTTTTAAAAAGTCCCATACTTTTTAGTCTAAAAATACAATTAAGAAAATTATTGTCCAATACCTAATAACATATTTATATTGATTGTTTGGAAGAAAAAAAATAATCATAGTTCCCTATCCACCCTATCTATGATTATGCCGCCTACTAGAATAGTATAGAGGAATCTTCGAGATGAATAGAAATAGAAAGAGTAAATACAATTTTAAATGATTTGCTTCAGTACAAAATAAGATGGAGTGATTATAAAATATTTAACAAAGAGGAAACATGGCATGTTAAAAGAAGTCGATTTTTGGTTCATAACAGGTTTGGTAGTTCATCTGAATCAGAACCTAAACTGGATGATGTGTCAATCGGTTGTACTGGCAGGTCCGGTTCAGCTTTTAAAACACTTGTATCAACAATCCTGCTACTTACTTTATGCTTCCACCCAGAGCTCTAATTGAGCATCTTCTGGCAGCTCTGTTAAGCTCATTGATTGAGTCATCTCTGAAACTTTCAATCATAGACAAAATCACAAACAAAGACAATTACAAAATGAAACAACCAAACTTGTTATTGAGGAAACTGAGCTCCTCTTTAGTTGATATTTCTGGGGGCCAAGTGAGAGCAACTAGTTTACAGATTTGCTTTCCAAGGAATTGGGAACTCCTTCATAGCATACAACAATATAATGTAGTTAGCAGTATTTAGGTTAGGGTTGCCCAGGACACAACCACAAAGCAATACAAAGATTCAACTGCTAAGTTCCATAGAACGAGACAAAGTTTAAACTGGAAATTCCAAGTACAAGTAAGGTGTTCTATATCTCCGTTATCTATGGCCAATATTGATAATTAGAAAAGGAGATGCTCAAGGATAGACATAGATTTATTAATGTCTTTTCAACCATGTGTTCGGATCCATGAATTCAATTCAAACTTGAGAGATATTAGAGCTGACGAAAAAAAAAGACAGGAGGCAAATTGACATTAGGCATCATGTCATTTATATCAAAGCATGAGTTGTTATTAAATATTGTGACCATTATATGCCTTAATCCTTTATAGTTAATAATCATAAGCATGTAACAACTTTATGCCATCAAATAATCTTTACAAGAACCCGAGAGAAGTCTTTTAACTAGAAATCCTCCAAGGAAAAAAAAAACAAAAAATTCATAAAACCATATATGTGGAAGAAAAAAAGAAAGATGAAAATTTCAGAGCAACAAAAATAGGCCTTTCTATAAAATGCAATATCTAAGGAAGTATGTATGAGTAAAACCAACTTACAAGTTACAAGTAACAACAATTATCAATAAAACATATATATCAATGCAACACCTTGACTCATTATGATCCTTAGAAAACAAAGTAGCTCCAGAAAACCTAGGTTGTTACTTGGAAAATGAAGTATTCCAAAAAACGCACGAAGCATTTCCTTGGATGAATTATCTAATCCATCATCAGACAACAGGTTAACTAGCAAGGTTACATTGCATGCGTCCACAGAGACAGCTCTATCATCCATTATGTGAAGCAGTTGCAATGCTTTTTGTGTTCCATTATTTCGTAGAAATCCTTGAACCAATATATTATACGAGTAAAAATCTGGCCAGCATCCCTCTTCTTTCATTTTCATTAGCAACTCGCTTGCTTCATCAAGTAGCATTCCATTGCAAAGTCCACTGATCATTATATTGTATGTACGGACATTAGGTTTAAACCCATTAGCAGAAAGATACAAGTAGAGTTTTCTTGCATCATCGAGCTTCCCAGCTTTGCACATACCATGTATTAGGTTATTATAAACAACAATATTAGGAACTAATCCAGCTGTTTCAATCTTTTCAAACAATGCCAATGCCTCATCAAGATATTGGTTGTTGCATAGGCCATCTAGCAAAGTACAGTAAGTAAACAGATTAAGAATTTGGCCATGAGTTTGCATCTCATCAAAAAGCAAAAGTGCATCTTGAGGTCTTCTTGTTTGGCACAAGCCACCAATAAGAGTGGTGTAGGTAATAGTATCAGGAAGCAATCCTTTTTGAGACATTTCCTTAAAGAGATTCATCGCTTCATCTATGTTTCCGATCTTACAGTACCCATTTATCAAGATATTATAAGCAAAAACATTAGGAGCACAACCCCAACTGACCATAACATCAAACATTTTCCTTGCCTCATCTATTTGGCCACATAGACAATACCCATCCATTATAGCACTATAAGTGACAACATCACGCACCACACCTCTTTGGATTATCAATTGAACAACAGCTTGTGCTTCTTTGGCCTTTCCTACTTTACAAGGTGCATCAACTAAAATGGTAAAAGTTTGAACATTTGGCCAGATATTCTTACCAACTATTTCATTCAACAATCTCATAGCTTCTTTCCACTCACCTAAACTACATACACCTTGAATTAAGGATGTGTAAGTGACGACAGTCAGTGAAAAACCTTTACCTATCATTTCTGAAAAGAGCTTGAAAACCTCGGTTACTAGTTTGTCCTTGCAAAGTCTATCAATGACCGTGCTGTATTCCACTAGTCCAGGCTCACAGCCTCCTATTTCTTCCATCTTTCTTAGCAAGAGAATAGCAGCACTGGTGTTTCCAATTTTGTATAGTCCATTTATTATAGTGCCGTAAGTAATGAAATTGGGTTAGAGCATCTCCAACGGTGTACCAAATGTTTCACCAAATCTGAGTTGAAAAGGGGTCATTTCCTTAATTTGATACTTCGCGCTCCAACGGTTCAACATCAAATCCGTTTCATCAAATTTGCGCTGGGCAACCGGTAACGGCAAATTTTTTTTTTTTTTTTTTTTTTTTTTTTTTTTTTTAACCTGTTTGAACCTTTTTTTTTTAATTTTTTGAACTTTTGGTGGTCGACCGGGTGGTCAACCGGCCGGTCAACCGGGTGGTCGGCCACCTAGGCAAATTTTTTTTTTTTTTTTTTTTTTTTGTCCTGTTGACTGGTTTGAACCTTTTTGTGAACGGTCTGAACTTTCTCCGGGGCAACCGGTTGGTTAACCGGTTGGTCAACCGGATGGTCGACCCGTTCGTCTCATCCCAACGGTTAGGAACAGTGCTTTGGTGAAATGCTTCGCCTGCACTCAGTTTGATACTTTTTTTGCTAATTTCTCATTTTGATATTCATTTGATGCAACGGTTGGAGCATGGAAAAGTATATTTTTCATCAAAATTTAAATCTGATATCAATTTTGGTTCAGCGTTAGAGATGGTCTTAGAACCCTTTCTCCACAATTTCATCAAAAAACTTAACTGTGGAAGCCACGTTACCATTAAGACAAAGCCCCTTGATGAGGGTAGTGAAGGTTGTGATGTCTGGTTCATAACCAAGTTTCAATATTTTCCCGAAAACAAAAAAACCCAAATCAACTTGATTCAAGTTACAGAAACAATTAATCACGATGTTAAGTGTTGGAACATTAGAGAAATCGCGGTGGAATAATGCTTTGATCTTGCAATTGAATTTAAGAGTTGATTGAATCGAAGAATTGGGGGCAAAGGTCACATTCGAAGCATGTGATCGAACCGAGTTAGGGCATCGTCAATGTTAGCAAACCCGTATTGGAATTGGAAATTCTGTTTCGAAGACAAATTGAAGTGGACTTGGGAATGAAATTAAGCTAAAAAACAAGGGAATGAAGTGAGAATACCTTTGTGAAGATCACAAACACCATCTCTGAAAACCACAGAAGCTTTTGGGATTTTCTGCATCATTATCAGCTTTTCTCTCGAAAACTCACACACACACACATTCTCTCTCTCTCTCTCTCACTCTCACACACTCGTATATACACACTAGATGCATTTGTATATGATATGTAATGATACTAGCCTTTGGGTGCAAGTCCCGAAGGAGAAATATCTCCGACAGGAGTCTTTTATGAGTTATTCTTCTAAGAAAAGGTCTTCTTACACTTGGAGAGGTATTCTCAAAACTAGAGATATCTTGAGGAAAGGTACTCAATGGGGAGTGGGAGATGGCGCTACCATTTCCATCTGGTTTGACTGGTGGTGTGGAGAGGAAACTCTTGTTACTAAATTTCCTAATCACCAGCTTACCAATAACGATACGGTGGATGTTCTTATGGATGAGGAGGGAAAATGGGATGTGAACCACATCCAGTCACATATTCCTAGTAACGCTATTACAAGTGTTTTAAAAATTCCTCTTTCTCAATTTGTTACCTTTCCTGACAGCCCTCACTAGAAGGGTGGTTCAGGAGGGTTTTCTACGGCTACTGCGTATAAAGCTGCATCTGGGCAGCTTGAGAGTAATTTGGAGATTGCGTGGATGTGGAAACTTAATATTCCCCACAAATTGAAAGATTTCCTATGGTTGATTTGCCATGGGAGACTCTTAACCAATGCTATGAGAAAGAATAGAGGCATGGCTGTGAATGCTAATTGTCCCAGATGTAATTGGCATAATGAGGACATGGATCACCTTCTACGTGGTTGCATTGTCTCAAAAAACATATGGACCAAGATTACTGGTCTGCAGTGGGTGTCAACCATCAACCACCTTAATCTAGTTGATTGGATTAGGAAGAACTTGAAGTCTCATAAGAGGAGAGATCCTCATTGGTGCTGTGTTTTTGTTGTGACCCTTTGGCAGATCTAGAAAGATAGGAACAAGAAAGTTTTTGATAATATTGAAACTTCTGTATTTAATGCTTGCACCTGTGTTCTTAATTATGTTGCCGAGATAAATCAAACTTTCTTATCTTCTATTGTCCATGCTCATAAACCTGCTGTTGAGATTAATTGGTACCCTCCTCTTGCAGGGAAAATCAAATTAAACACGGATGGCTGTGCTCGGGGCGATCCAGGAGAAGGGAGGTTGGGAGGCCTCTTTCGCGATGAAATTGGCATTTGGCTGTGCGGTTTTTTTGGGAAGCTAGAGACATGTTATAGCTTAGAAACGGGAATGTGGGGCATCTACAGAGGTCTTACCTTAGTGCTCGAGAAAGGTCTCGCCGAAGTTGTCATTGAGACTGACTCCACCATAGCCCAAGAAATGATCACAAACAGGCCTCCCCCAAACTGCCCGTATAGAGCCATTGTGGAAGATGCTCGTCACCTTCTCCAGCGGTGCACTTGTTCCATCTAGCACATTATGCGAGAGGCCAACCAAAGTGCGGACAAGCTCGCCAATATGGGTGCAGATCAAGTGGAGCACTTGCTGGTTATGGAGGAACCTTCTCCAGAAGTTAGAAGTTTGATTCTAGCAGATATGGTAGGCACAGCGTTTCGAAGACTCTAGCTTAGCTGCCTCTCTTGTCTTTGTTGTTGTTTGTTCTGGTTTTAATTTCCGACGTACCGAAAAAAAAGTATATGATATATATATATATATATATATATATTTAATTATATATATATTTAATTAGGAGAGCCAAAATATTCCATAATTTTTTTTTAAAAGCCAAAATATAATTCACAGATAGATATTACTTGAAATTTTATACAGATTTACTACTATAAAAAGATAAGTGTAAATTGCAAATACAAATCGATTGAGATTTGTTTACAATCGGAATTGTCTTCTATGGTTCAATAAATTACATTCCACCTTTGAAATTCTTAATTTTATAAGATATTGTCTCTTTTATTTATGAGTTATCAAGTCATTTAACAGTTTTTAATAATTTTAAAAAAATAAATATTTCTATTAATAATTTAATTAATTTTATTATTTTATAGAGAACGCTTAGGAATTTTATTTTTTTAATTAATTCTATTAAATAAAAAATTATAATAATGAGATATTTATAATTTTTCAAATCATAAGAAATAATTACTATTTGAAGCAAATATCATTGGATGTATTTATAATTTATCTAAAAAATAAAATAAGAGGGATTATTCAATCGCTTTGAGATTGAACTTAACTTTTGATTTTTTTTGGTTGAGGAATCAACAAAAATCACAAATCATTGGTTTTAGAAACTATACGAGCACGAAATAATTTTCTCGTATAATCCTGTTGACTAAGTTTGCACACCTCCAAACGTCATCGCTTTTACTTCCTGAAAACACAAATGTGAGCTAACCGACGGGTGTGCGCTGGAAACTCCTTTGATGCCTAAGTCAGCAAAATAGACAATAGACACAAAAGCTTTGTACTTGAAAGTAAGTATTGTGATACCTGTATATAGGTTCTTTCACGAGCTTTTATAGATTCTGTGTGACACAATCCTAGTGGGACTGTTACTTCTCAATGTAGAGTCGTCCTAGGAATCACATCTCTAAGAGATAATGTTTATCCCTTAACACCCTTCTCACTGCTTTAACCAAGTGAAATGGTTTTACCTCGGTAGTAAGACAAAACGACTGAGCTAACACTGACATGCTTAAGCGTGGATCTAACCGAGCTTCACCTAGCTCGATTCCACCTTTCTCTTTCAATTCAGCTTCATGTACCTCAGTTCAACATACTCCAACCGGGCTACTTAGTCATTTGCGACCGAGCTAACTAGGCCCAATGGCGAAGCCCATTCCATTCAGTCCACAGCTCGGCTTACCTCTACCCGGTCCTAGCTCGGCCCAGATTTACACATTTTACCCTCTCTATTGCCCCTTAATGCCATCTACAATGCATGATTGGGATTACTTTTCTCTAGCCTAGCTAGAAACATTTAAGCAAACTAAGCTCACCTTCCACCGGGCTACCGATGAGTTCGGTCCATAAACGTCTTTTCAATTGCTCTGCACGTCTGAATCGTTTTCTATTCTCTTGGACACGTGGCAAGCTCCTATTGACCAAGCATAGCTGTCACAGCCATCTTCGTACTCCACAAATTTTGAACAGTCCCGCCCTTTCTATGCTTTATACGAAAAAAAACCTCTTTTTTTGAATCAAACGCACCACTGTTTATCTCTACTTCTTGCCTTCTGAGTCTCCATATCCACGACCTCAGCACCTGCAAAGCTTGTGTTTTTGTGAGCAGCCTTACAGTCTTGTCCTTCGTCCCTTCATTTTGAAGCTGTAAGTAACTCGAACCTTTTCTCCTTCTTTTGTTTTACTCTTGTGAATATGTATTGTATAGTAATATTCAGTATAGTATGCATATGTTTCTCAAAACATACTTAAATAACTTTCACGAAATGGGGAAGAACCACTTAATCCCTAGAGACCACATGATAAGTTTTCAAACACACCACAACTGGATTCACAAACAATCTGAAACGTGATGCTTTTGATCCAAAATAACACCACAACTGGGATAGAAACTTGTTTGCCATAGATGCATTAGACCGAACTGCAAACCTTACCCAATGGCCGAGCTAGAACTTGGAGTCATCACTTGTGTTACGACCGAACTAAAAACGTGGTCATACCCTGCAATATAACCTCTAACCGGGCTTGAGGCTTTGTATTGGCCCAGCTGGACTACCGAACTGAGAACTCTTTTTCATTCATATGAACCGAGCTAAACCTTCACTATTTTTCTGCGAATTAACTTTTTACTTAGTCCGATCCAGCTGTCTGGGCATAACACTTTTTATTTCCACTTTGTAGACTTGACTAGGTTGGCCAGGCACACCTTTGCACCCTACCCCT